CTTATTCATGAGCATTCATCAAAGCCCACTTAATGCCCCATATTGACCAGGGTCTAAACAGTTTGGACCACAACTCCGACACGGCACACAAACTTAGATATTTGGTAATGTCATGTTATAATCCACATTGATATTAAATGGCCACAAACAGACAGATACAACTTCGTGGCATTCATATGCCCAGCCAGGCACTGAGACAATTAGGGCGTACGCCTGGGCGTGGCGCACTGGAAAACATGTCCCGGTCAAGTCGAGTCAGGTCGAGTGGAGTAGAGTCCATTATCACACGCCCCAACCAAAACGAAAAAAGGAAAAAAAAAAATGGCCATTAGACTTTAATAAGCCAATAAGTTTGCGCTCAGGTGCCTTACGTCCTGGCAGCGTCCTGGCTGCCATTCAAAAAGGCACTGCATTAATATTTATGCGCGTATTACGCTTGATTGTGCCATAGACGCGTTGCCGCTCTGCCCTGCTCTGAGTTGGTAGGCCAGGCCATGCGTGCGTTATAAATAAAATTAAATGTGTATCAGTTAAGCCGAATTTGGTTCAAGGAGCAAGGCGAAGGCGTCGATAAGTCCACTCGGCCCGTGGCTAATGAGATTCCACTCCTTGGCCTGGTTCTTAGCGGGTTAATGATGCGTCCGTTAGCATTTAATGTGCTGATGTACTTTACAGCGATGTGATTATCCCCTGAATGTGAGAGAGAGAGAGAGTGCCCCTGTGGCATAGCTGATGTCATTGAGAGTGAGTGTGAGGGAGTGGGTGAGTGTGGGTGGGTCGGTGGGCTGGCAGGTGCAGCCAGTCTAACCTTCACGCCTCGCCCATGTGATTTGTGGTTATTATCAGGAAAACTGTTCGCCAAACTTTGAAACATTGTGCTTATCTACCGCTAAATAAACAAGTCATTAAATATTGCCGAATGGGAAGATTGTATAGATATGTGTTGGCATATATATAAGGAGCATTGTTTTATGCTGAGATAAACCTGATTTGAAGTTTTAGCTGTACTGCTGATTGCTCAAGTTCGTTTCCTCATAATTGTATCAAAGCATAAACAATTTGATCTATTCAGTTAGTATATATATATTGAAAAATGTAAAACATACAAAGGTCATCATAATCTAAATAAATTATAAAAAATTTATTTAAAAAACTCTTCATAAAAAAAAAAAAATTTTTTTGAAAAAAAAAAATAAATAAAATAATATAAAATAAATAAAATATATAAGATAAATATAATAAATAAAATTAATAAAATTAAATCAAATAATAAAATTAAATAAAATAAATAAAATTAAAAAAAATAAATAAATAAATAAGAAAAATAGATAAATATTTAAATATAGATGTATTTTTTAATTAAAAATAAGATATAAATTATATAAATTAAATAAAATGTAATTGAATAAAAATAGCTAATATTTAATAAAAATAGAAAAATAGAAAAAGGTAATTAATTATAATATTTTTATATTATTTTTTAATTTAAAAAAAAATCTATGTATATACAAAATTCTATTTGTTTTTAAGTGTTTGTATATTAGTTTTAGATTAATATATAATACACATATATATATTTTATAAGCTTATCTAACATTGGGCTTCATGAACTATACCACAGTAAAATAAATAAAAATTCATATAAATTTGATCGAATTGTCTAGCATAAACTAGAAAAAGTTTTTTTTACCTGTATATAAAATGCACTCACTAAGCTCTTCATGAACTTGTTAAACAATACAAATACACTTCTGCTCAATCAATTTGTGTGAATGTACTTCCCTCATTTTTCTAAGCTCTGCGCTGCGTTTGCAACTGAAAATCACGTTCGTCGTTCATATTGAACTAATTTATTTATCGCAAATTCGGAGCCAATCATTAAGCTGTGTATTTTATTTAGAAAATTTAAGTAAACTCTTTGCTGCTGCGATGCTGCTGGCGTCCCTCGAAGGATATCCCTATCAGGGAATGTTTTCGTGTAACATGCACGCGAATGAAATAAAAATAATGAGCAGGGATATACAGCAAATTTGTAGGGAGTGGCTACAGCTAAGAGAGCACAGGGCAACGTGGCTGCTGCTGCTGTTGCTGTTGTTGCCTGTCACAGGCAGCAGGAGCAACAGCTACAACAACAGCTACAACAGCAACAATACGAGGAATTAACTCGCATGCTTGGCATAATAAACATAACGGCCCAGGATTCATCTTTGCAGCGTCTTTTCTCTCGCGTTTACTGTATTTTATTTTGTTGATTTTTTCTTTGCTCCTCCTTTTTTTGTTTGAGTTTTTGGCGGCTGCTCCTTTGACTGGATTTATTTGCGCTGCTTTCGCGCTGGCTGCTTGCATGCAGAGAAATTCTAGTATGTCGCCTTGGGGCGCGATACTTTGGCTGTACATGTTAAGAAAATGGCAAAAACTTGTAGCCTTTACGACTCGACTCGACTCGACTCGAAGGCCACCAAAAATAAGAAAAACCAAACCAAGCTCGAGCTGATGGCACGGCCAACAAGCTCGCAATTAGTAGAGCGTTGCCAGCTCAAAAGGCTTTGCCGGCTGCTTCCAACTAATTGAGTGGCTGTGTGAGGCTGTGGGCGACACGGCGTATGAGCGATGCCTTCGTTTGCCTTGTCTTGCCCTGCCCGGCCTTAAGCCTAACAAATTAAATTGTTGTATTGGGTTAGCCACTTAATGTGCCACACAATTTCGTCGTCTTCATATTTTTCTTTCTTTGTTGTTGTTGTGCCCCAATCGGTGGCTGTAAAACAGCTAATATGATGTCTGGCCAAGATTTCGCTTTATTAATATGAGGGAAAAGCCAATTATTTTTTGGGGGGGAGCAATCAAAAATTCAGATAAAAGTCTTTCGTCTGGCGGCTAATCTCACTCAGCCATCACGTGGGTTAGGTTGCAAATTTAATTAAGCAAAAAAGCAAAAATATGTTTCGGTTAATCAAGCCCACAAACAAAAGTTTTAATGAAAAAAAAAAAAAATAAAAAAAATAAATAAAATAAAATAAATATATAAAATACTCATATACAAAAGTCTGTAGATATGGCATCCAAGTCTATGGAAATGTATCACATTTCACCTACACCAAATACACACCACATAGACCACATTCCTTGGGCGTGTCAGCTATGCCCACGCGCAAAATGTCAACGACCTGGCTGCGAGACATAAATATCAGTCCCATCAAAAGGAGTCTGTCTGCTCCAGTCCAACTGGATCCAGAATAAAGCAGCTT